GAGAGGTAGAGAGAAGTGTCTTAACACTGAGGTATAGAATTGTGAGTTAGTGCAAAACTGTGTGGAACTACTTTGGTTTAAGGCATTATTTACAGCATTTGCCGCTGTTTGACCACCATGATGTTGATGGATTTAAGGCGGTTCTCAACAAAGGATACGAGTTTGTTAAAAATGCAGGGTCCGAAAACTGGTGCTAAAAGGAGTATTGTTATGGGACCGATAAGACAGGATAGCAAGGTGGTGAGCCATGGTGCCTGATCAAACAGTGATGTGAACCAGTCCTGCGATTCCCTGTCCCTTTTTCGACTTTCTAATCTCTCACGCAGCTTGGCCATGGTGTCTTTCACTAACCCTGTGTGGTCTGCGAAAACGCAGCACTCCTCTTTAAGAGCAGCACACAGCCCGCCTGCTTGTAAGAACAGAATGTCCAGTCCTCTGCGATTTTGCAGAACCACCTCGGACAGTGACTTAAGTGCTCGTTGCTGTCCGACCTTCGTCTGCGCCGAGCCCGCAGGGTGGGACAGGGTGTTGGTCGGCGTGTTGTTCTCCTCTGGCACTGGGCTGTACTGGTTCCGAGGGCGTCCGATGATCCAATCCTGCAAGTAAAAGCTCGCAGTTTTCATTAGTAGGGAAGATGTCAGGTTCAGAGGTGTTTTATGCCTTGTAGCTACATCCATATGTGGCCGCCCCATGTTCCAGGTGGGAGGGGGCTGGGTGCTGCCAGGGCAGTTGCATTGCCCCCTCCCCTTCACGTTTCCCTGATTTTTAGATCTACAATCTTTAGCAAAGTGCCCTTTTTTCCCCCATGCAAGACACGGCCTTCTAGGTTTGATTTGAGGAGAGGGATGTATTATTGCCGGACTCCCGAGCTGGGGGCAGTTTACTGCCACATGTCCTGGCTGGCCACATTTAAAACACACCATTGCATTAGCTATTGCTGCGTGAACAGCCACTTGAATTGGGGCAAAATGCTCTTCTTTTGTGACATGCTTAATCATGTCAGCGATACTCGCTGCAGCTGGCAAGGATCGCAGAATGTCCTTGGTTGCTGAATTACATTGCTGGCACAGACAATCTGCGAGGACTGGGCCCTTTGCCTCCAGGGGGAGGGAGGAGGAACCAATCGCCGCTTGAAGACGGTCTACAAACTGTGTAAAAGTTTCACTTTCAGCCTGTTTGATGGTAGACCACGGGGATGGCTTAGCAATAACTGCTGAGGCCATGTGAATGGCTTCTCTAGCAGCCCTAGTGGTTGCTTTAACTTCATGTGGTCGCATACCTTCTGCCTGTGCTCGTGGGGTGATCATAGCAGGGTCAACACCCATTAACCGTTGCAAGCTAGAACCATGCAGGGGATGGTCTGGACCAGTTACTGATGCAAGCTGTTTCACACAATTATCCTCCCATTCCTGTTTAAAAACAAT